TACAAGAGCATTATATCTAAAAAAATAAAAATTAAAAATACTGTATTGCTAAAAAGTGCTAATGATCATCTGAACCTTCAGCGAGTCATAGTCTTTTTGCTGGTGGAAGGCCTTGCCTCAATGTTGATGGCTGTTGACTGAGCAAAATGGTTGCTGAAGGTTGGGGTGGCTACAGCAGTTTCTTAAAAAATGAGACAACAATGAAGTTTGATGCATCAATTGACTCTTTATTTCACAAAAGATTTTTTGGTAGCATACAATGCTGTTTGATAGCATTTTACCCACAGTAGAATGTCTTTCAAAATTGGAGTCAGTCCTCTCAAATCCTGCTGTTGCTTTATCAATTAACTTTATGTCGTATTCTGAGTTCTTTGTTGTCATTTCAACAAAGTTCCCAGCACCTTCACCTTTATATTTATCTTGAGTAGATTCCATCTCAAGAAACTATTTTTGGCTGGGTGTGGTATATTCCTATAATCCCAGTATTTTGAGAAGTCAAGGTAAGGGACTCACTTAAGACCAGGAGTTCAAGACCAGCCTAGGCAACATAGTGAGATGCTATCTCCATGAAAAATTTTTTTTTTTAGTTAGCCAGATGTGGTGGCATGCACCTGTACTCCTAGCTAATTGGGAGGCTGAGGTAGGAAGATTGTTTGAGCCGAGGAGTTTGAGGTTACAGTGAGCTATGATTGCGCCACTGTACTCCAGCCTAGGTGACAGAGCAAGACCCTGTTTCAAAAAACAAAACACTTCCTTTGCTCATCCATCAGAAGCAACTCCTTATTGTTCAAGTTTCATTATGAGATTGCAACAATTCAATCATATCTTCAAATTCTAGTTCTCCACTTCAAATTCTAGTTCTCTTGCTATTTCTGGCACATCTATAGTTACTTCCCCTACTGGAGTCTTGAACCCTTCAAAGTCATGAGGGGTGGAATCAACTTCTTCCAAAGTCCTGTTAATGTTGATATTTTGACCTCCTCCCACAAATCATGGATGTTTTTAATGACATCTAGAATGGTGAATCCTTTCCAGAAAGTTTTCACTTTGCCCAGATCCATCAGAGGACTCACTATACATGGTAGCTAAGGCCTTTTGAAATGTATTTCTTGAATAAGACCTGAAAGTAGAAATAACTCTGTAATCCATGGACAACGGAATAGACAATGTGTTAGCAGGCATGGAAACAACATTAATCTTGTACATCTTCATCAGAGCTCTTGGGTGACCAGTTGCACTGCTGGAGAGCAGTAATACTTTGAAAGGAATTTTTTCTGAGCAGTGGGTCTCAACAGTGCACTTAAAATATTCAGTAAACTATGCTGTAAACAGATGTGCTTTCTCCTTCAGGCTGTGATGTTTCATTTATAGAGCACAGGCAGAATAGATTGAGCATAATTGTTAAGGGCTCTAGGATTTTCAGAATGGTAAATGAACATTGGCTTCCACTTAAAGTCACCAGCTGCTTTAGCCCCTAACAAGAGAGTCAGCCTGTCTTTTGACACTAGCCACTGCCTTCTTCTCTCTAGCTATGAAAGTCCTAAATGTATCTCCTTCCAATCTAAGGCTGTTTTGTCACAAGAAGCATAGCTTTCAGCTTATCTCAGCTTTTGATATGTCTTCCTCACTAAGCTTAATCAATTTTAGGTTTGTTTTAAAGTGAGAGACGTGTGACATTTCCTTTCACTTGATCACTTGGAGGCCATTCTAGGGTTATTAATTGGCCTAATTTCCAATATTGTTGTGTCTCAGGGAATAGAGAGGTCTGAGGAGAGTCAGAGAGACTAGAAACAACTGGTCAGTGGATCAGTAGGAACACACATGTTTTTTAAATTTACCATCTTATATGGGTGTGGTTTGTGGTGCCCCTAAACAATTACAATAGTGATCAAAGTTCACAGATCACAGATCACCGTAACAGTTGTAATAATTAATGAAAAAGTTTGAAATACTGTGAGAATTATCAAAATGTGATAGAGACATAAAGTAAGCGCATGCTGTTGGGAAAATGTCTCCAATAGACTTGTTTGATGCAGGGTTGCCACACATATCTTCAATTTGTGTAAAATGCAGAAGCTGCAGAGTGCAATAAGGTGAGGCACAATGAAACAAAGTATGCCTATATACTCCAATCTGTAGGAATACCCCATACAAGTCTATATATTGAAGAGGAATTAACCTCAATTTTGGGGGGTTCTAAATTTGTAAATCCCAGGAAAGAGACTTACTGGTTTAGCTTAGTTTGAGTACTCATCCCTAAACCAATCAACTAAAATCAAGGCAATGGGACTATTATAAGAAAATGCAGCTTTCATGCCAGATATGTGGATGCTATGGGGCAGTTTCCAGGAGAAGGAGATATACCAGGCGGACAGTCTCACAGTAGAGCACATGCATATTTCTTTCCATAGTCTAATTTCATAAATTCTCTTGTCTAGCATAGTGCAGTTTTCCCATGTAGACACCTTGCCTACTCAATGAGAAACAAGTAAAAGACATGACCAGCTACTACATCTATCTTTCATTTCGAGAATCTCAATTGATCAGGTCTGGATGTACTTGTATATAATTTTGCAATCTATGGGCTAAATGACAAATGTAACAGCCCTCAAAACAAAACAATCATATCTTTTGCAAAGGTTCTAAGGTCAGCTCCTGTTGTATGAGAAATTACCTTGGGGCAATGGTAGCCTCCTAGGCCTTAGGCAAAGCTATCTCAGGGGAAGACCCATGGGCCAAAGTAAGTATTTAGAATCCCACAATTCATTAAAAAATTTAAAACACTCACTGAGAAGTAAGAGGAAAGAGTGAGGTAGATTAACACCCTTTGGATAAGGTGCAAGCAGGGTAGAAGGACCATACTACCTGAATCTGGATTACACAATGTTCATATTCCTGTCTTTCCCCTTGCTGTGCCAGTTTTTCTTTCTGATAGTGTGGTTATGAGGATCAGAGGTGATGTTTGAGCAAGGGATCCAACAGATGAAAGGTGTATGGAACCAGTGTACACAGGGACTTGCCTGTTGGAAAGACACAGGGACATGTATGCATGACAGTAGCTGTATCTCATCAATCAGCCTGATGAGTAGGTCTCAATTTCATTTGCATTTTGGGGGCAAAGGACAAGCGGGGTTAGAATGATATCAACTATGAGTGGCTGATGTAAGGCTTCAACAATGTCAAGGGCTTAATGTCTCTCATGTATATTTAGTGAATCATGAATATTTGTGATGCCTTGGTCCTTCCTTCCCTTTCTATCAACTTTAGAACATTTATGTTCTAACATGTCTCACATGCCTGTTAGAAATGCTTGTTCCCCAGTGCCACAAATAAATAGCACTTGAACATAAATTTAATTTTCTCAGCAAGGCCATTTTTACTTTCTGCAGAAAGGGCACACTCACCAGCAGTTTTGCCACAAGAGTACACTGAACAAAGGAGACAGGGTTATTTATAATCTGACACATCTACCCTACTGCCGTGGACAGTTTCCATTGCCTGGAATGGGACCCCACATTCTCTATTTGTCCCGATTGGCTAGCAGCTTAGAACTTTCTAAAAGAGGCAAAGGCAGAGGATAATAAAGGAAGGAGGCAGTAAATTGTGGGATGCTGAAAAAGGTAAAAATACCTCCAAATAAGGAAGAGGAACAGGCTATGACCTAATGCTTGCTTGGACCTGTATAAGCATGCCAGGGCAAATATTTAGGCTACGTTGTGGGAGCTAAGAACACAAAGTACCTTGATTTCTTTATTATGGCTAGCAGATGTCTGAGAATGTTAGCACATGTCTTTGAATAAATTTTGCTTCTAAGAGAAGTTACTATTTATTCCTAATTAGACAGGGAGGAAAGTCTCTTTGAAGAGGAACCTCTACTTTACTTTTTACATGCCATTTGCTTCCATACTTGGTTTCATTTAGCCTTTTTATTTTTTGTTTTCTGCTCTATTAGTAAAATTGAAAATTCTCTAAAAATTTAAAATGTGCATTACAAATCAAAGATCATGTATAGTCAAGATTACCGTTGAAGATCTCTTAAATTGCCCATAAGGCACAATATATTGCATTTATGAGCCACCTTGGAGGCTGATGTTCTGTCTCTCAGTAAGTCCAACCTAGAGAATTTACCCTGCAGCATTGGAACAGATGGCTCATCCTTCTATTGACCCCCAGAGGAAGTCATTGGCTTGCATGTAGGACCTCTAGGCTTGGACTCAGACTGCTAGATGCCCACACTATAAGAGGCACCTGGGAACAGACCAACTGAGAGAATGACACGTTTGTGTCTTCTGTCTTCTGCTTACTCTGGGCATTAATTTGCTTAGTCAAATGATGCTTATACTTCCCTCTCTCAAGCCCACTTCAGTTCGTATGAATTAAATATGTGTATGTTCTATTTCTAGGGTACAAAAAGTATTAAATGATGAAAGACAACTAGAATATCCACAATTAAAAAAAAAAAAAACTCTTTAGAAAAGAAGAAGAAGAAAAAAAAAGAGCAACCTACAGAGGTCACTTGCCCAGATCTTCTAGCACATCTTGCTGGAGGAAGACAATAAAGTAGATCATAGGGCCAGCAAACTTAATGTGCACCGGGTTTGTTAACTACTTCCTTAAGCATGGATTAAGTTCAGTATGGCTACCCCAGGATTCTGCTAGGAGAGTTTTCCTTATTTGTATCCAACAGGGCCATCCTTGAGTATAACGATTAATATTGTGTGTCAACTTGACTAGGCTAAGGGATACTCAAATAACTGGTAACACATTATTTTTGGGTGTGTCTGTGGTACCCCCAGATGTGAGGATGTTCCTGGAAGAGATTAGCATTTGAATCAGTAGATTGGGTAGAGATCACCCTCACCAACATGGGTGAGTGTCATTCAATCCATTGAGGACCTGGATAGAACAAAAAGGTGAAGGAAGGGTGAATTTGTTCTCTCTGCTTGAGGTGGGACATCCATCTTCTTCTACCCTCAGACAGCTGTGCTCCTGATTCTCAGGCCTCAGGACCCAGACCAGGATTTCCATCAGCTCCCCTGGCTCGCAGGCCTTCTGACTTCTGACTCACCAGGGGCTCTCCTGGATCCAGCTTCATGATGGCAGATCGTGGGACTTCTTGGCCTCCGTAATCACATGAAACAATGCCCACAGTATGTCTCCTATTAAATAAATATATATCTAATCTCTTATTGGTTCTGCTGCTCTGAAGAACCCTGGCTAATACACTAAGAAAGAGCTTGGGGAGGATTCCTCTGAAGGGGACTCTATTATTTTAGCAGTGTACTCTATGTTGGTGAATACATTTGAGCTGGGTCTTATCTTACAGGTTGAGTAATAATCACAGGTGATTTTGCAAGAATTGAGTTTTATTTTATTTTATTTTATTTTGCATGGCTTAAGACTGAAACAGCCCATTGCATTCATTTTTGAGGACAGTGTTTGCTAATAACCCAATGCAGAAATCATTTGTGGTTAGGATTATGATCTAATCATTCACCAAACTTATAACAGATGATCTTCACTCAGTCACAAAAAAAATTGCACAACAGTGGGATAATTAATATTTTCTAATAAAAAAGTGGAACTCTCATAGTAGCCATCTAGATGGGGGAGAAGGTGTTCTCATTTCTGTTATGTGTTTTTAATTCTGTTTGGCAGTTATATTACATTTTTCTAGCTCATTCATTCTTTTGCACTTAGATGACTATTTTCTATCATCTCTTCTGTCAGTCCTCCAATACCACTCTCTCAGTTACCTCCCTTACCACTCTCTCTCAGTTGATGCCCATCATAAAAAAATCTACTACAGGCCGGGTGCAATGGCTCACACCTATAATTCCATCACTTTGGGAGGGTGAGGTGGGTGGATCACCTGAGGTCAGGAGTTTGAGACCAGCCTGGCCAACATAGCAAAACCCATTCTCTACTAAAAATACAAAAACTTAACTGGGCATGGTGGCAGGCACCTGTAGTCCCAGCTACTTGGGAGGCTGAGGCAGGAGAATTGCTTGAACTTGGGAGGCGGAGATTGCAGTGAGCTGAGATTGCACAATTGCACTCCAGCCTGGGTGACAGGGTGAGACTCTCAAAAAAACAAAAACAGAAACAAAAACTCCTACAAATGTGGTGGCTTAAAACAACACACGTTTTTTATCTCACAATCTAGAAGTCAGAAGTTGGACAGAAGTCTCCCTGGGTTAAAATCAAGGTATAGGCAGGACTCTGCCTGTTTCTGAAAGCCATACGGAGAAGTCCTTTTTGCCTTTTCTCCTTTCTAGAGGCCACTTGTATTCCTTGGCTCATGGTCTCCTTATTCCATCTTGAAAGCCGGCAACTCTCTGCCCCTTTCCCCATCGTTACATGTTTCTCAACCATGTTCTTCTGCCTCCTTCTTTCTTCCACTGTTATTTTATTTTATTTTATTTTTTGAGATGGAGTCTCACTTTGTTGCCCAGGCTAGAGTGCAGTGGTGCAATCTCAGCTCACTGCAACCTCCGCCTGCCAGGTTCAAGCAATTCTTCTGCCTCAGCCTCCCAAGTAGCTGGGATTACAGGCATGCACCACAATGCCCACCTAATTTTTTGTACTTTTTGTAGAGACGGGTTTTCACCATGCTGGCCAGGCTGGTCTTGAACTCCCAACGTTGGCTTACCAAAGTGTTGGGATTACAGGCATGAGCCACCGCACCTGGCCTCCTTCCACTGTTTTTAGTAATAGCCATAGTGAAGATATAATTCGCATACCATATAATTCATGCATTTAAAGTGTACAATTTGATAGTTGTTAGTATATTCATGGAGTTGTACATCCATCTATTACCAGAACCAAGTTTGGAACATTTTCATTATCCCCAAGAAACCCTGTGCCCTTTAGCAGTTATCTTTTATTCTTGCCCGTCACTCATTCCTAACCCTTGGTAATCACTAATCTGCTTTCTGCCTTTATGGATTTTCCTCTTCTGGCCTTTTCCTATAAATGGAATCACACAGCATATGCTCTTTTGTCACTGGCTTTTTTCACTTGGCATGCTTTCAAGGTTCATCCATGCTGTAGCATATCTCAGTACTTCATTCTCCTCCTCCACTTTTAGGGACTCATGTAATTAGATTGGGCCAACCCGGTAATCCAGCAAAAGCTGCCCATCTCATGGTCCTTACTGTTTTTTGGTTTGTTTTTCTTTTTGAAACGGAGTCTCGCTCTGGTGCCCAGGTTGGAGTACAGTGGCGTGATCTCGTCTCACTGAAACCTCTGCCTACCAGGTTCAAGTGATTCTCCTGCCACAGCCTCCTGAGTAGCTGGGATTACAGGCGTGCGCCACCACGCCCGGCTAATTTTTGTATTTTTAGTAGAGATGGGATTTCACTATGTTGGTCACGCTGATCTTGAACTCCTGACCTCAAGATCCACCCGCCTCAGCCTCCCAAAGTGCTGGGATTACAGGTGTGAGCCACCGCGCCCGGCCCACGGTCCTTACCCTTCATCACATCTGCCAAGTCCCTTTGGCCGTGTAAGGTAACACAGTCACAGATATCGGGGTTTAGGACATGGACATCACTGGGGGGCCATTACTCAGTCTACCGCAATGAATATCCTTCCTATTTCAGAGAGAAAATAAAAGCAGTCAGAGAAGATTTTGAAAACTCTTTATCTCCACGGCCTTTCCCCTGTTCCCCAGCATGTGGAGCCGTGGACTCTGCCTTCCGCCCATCACGATGGTGCAGAACCTCATATCCCAGCGTTTGTTACCACAGACTTCCCCTTTCTGTCCTGCTAGCAGAGGCCACGCTGCCACTCCGCGTCGGACCCCTTCTCCTCTCGCTTCCTCAGTGGCACTGTTGGAGCTACCCTCCCCTCTCCTGCATTATCATTTCTTACTTTTCTCTCGGATCATTTCAATCGGCATAAAACTACTTGTAATTTCACCCTTCTGAAAACAAAATCCTTTTTTGACCCATTTCCCTCGTCTTCTAGTGCCTCATTTCTTTGTTCCCCCAACTCTTTACAACAAAACTTCATGAAAGATTTGTCTCTGTTGTTTTCAATTTTTCTTTTTCAATTATGGTTTTTTTTGGTTAGAGAGTCACTAAAAAAAATTTTTTTTCTTTTTTCAATTCTGTTTTTTTTTTTTTTTTTTGCCGCGGGGGCGGGGGGGTCTCACTATGCTGCCCATTGTGGTCTCAAACTCTTGGGCTCAAGCAATCCTTCTGCCCTGGCCTTGCAAAGTGCTGGAATTACAGGAGTGAGCTACGATGCCCAGCCAATTTATTGTGGTTAAGTATATGTAATATAATTTACCGTTTTAACTGTTTTCAAGTACACAATTTAGGGGCACGAATTGCTTTCACAATGTTGTTCAACCATCAACACTGTCCACTTCTAGAATTTTTCATCATTCCAAACAGAAACTGCATACCCCTTAACCAATAGCTTCCATTCTCCCCTGCCCCCCAGCCCCTAGTAGCACCATTCTACTTTCGGTCTCTGAATTCGACTATGCGGGGTGCCTCTGTAAGTGGAATCATGCAATATTTATTCTTTTGTGTCTAGCTTCTTTCACACAGCATACTGTTTTAAAGGTTTGTCTATTTGGTGGTATGAGGCAGAATTTCATTCCTTTTCATGGCCGAATAATATTCCATTGTATGCATATAGTACTTTGTATTTACCCATTTTCCTTCTTTTTTTTTTTTTTTTTTCTGAGACAAAGTCTTGCTCTGTCGCCAGGCCAGAGTACGGTGGCACAATCTCGGCTCACTGCAACCTCCGCCTCCTGGGTTCAAGCGATTCTCTTGCCTCAGCCTCCCAAGTAGCTGGGACTAATTTTTGTATTTTTGTAGAGACGGGGTTTCACCATGCTGGCCAGGATGGTCTCGATCTCAACCTTGTGATCTGCCTGTCTCAGCCTCCCAAAGTGCTGGGATTACAGGTGTGAGCCACCGCGCCTGGCCCCATTTTCTTGTTGATGGACACTTGGGTTGTTTCCATTTTGGGACTATTGTGAATACTGCTGCCATGAACATATGCATACAAGTATCTTTTGAGTCATTTCTCTTAAGTTCACTACAGTCAGGCTTTCACGCTCACTGGTCAACACAAATTGTTCTTGTCAAGGTCATCAGTGACCTCTGAGTTGCTGCAGCCAATTATCAATTCTTCATTCTCATCTTATGTAGCAGTGCCATTTGCATTGGTCATTGCCTCCTTCTTGAAGTCTTTTCTTCAGTTGACCTCCAGGACACCACCACACACTCCGAATTACCTTTCCACCTCACTCGCCACTATCCCTTAGCCTTCTTTATTAATCATGCTTACTGCCCTCTCTACAGTCTTTGGAACTATTCTCTTTTCTGTCTGCACTTTCTCCCTTAGTAATATCTGCCAATCTTAAGGTGACACCGACTATTTACCTGGCATGTCCATTGGATAGCAAGTGAGCATCTTACATTTAACATGTCCCAGACTAAATTCCTGATCATCCGTATCCTCCCCATCAAAATATACTTTCAGTCTTTCTGAACTAATCCAATGGGATCCTTCTAGATGCTTAGGCACAAGTCCTGGAATCATCTTTTATTCCTCAATTTCTCTCCCATCTCATGTTCAGTCTATTAACAAATGCTGTTGGCACCTTCTTTAAAATATTTACAGAATCTGCCATGTGGGGCGGTACACACCTATAGTCCCAGCTTCCATCTACTCAGGAAGCAGAGGTGGGAGAGTCGCTTGAGTTCAGGAGTTTGAGTCCAGCCTGGACAACATAGCAAGACCCTATCTTGAATACACACACACACACACACACACACACACACACACACACTTTGATCATTTTTCTCCGTCTTTACCACTACTGCCTTGATGCAAATCATCAACATCTCTTGCCTGGATTTTTTCCATAATCTCCTAACTAGTCTCCCTGAGTCATCTTTCACCTCTCTCCAGTTAATACTCAATACATCAGCAAAATCTTGCCATTAAAATGTAAGTTTCTCATGTTGTTGTTGTGATTCAAGAAGCGGTGAAAGGCCGATTGCAAAGCAGTGAGACACTTATTGGGGTCTTAGGAATTGTGATTCAGGAGAAACAGATGTGGTCAAAGGCCAAATTGTGTTCTGAAAAAGAAAGGGGAGTAGTAATTTTTAAAAAGATGCCAAGGGTGATTACACTAGTTGTTTTGAAAGAATTATTGTTGGTAGAGGAGGCTGGCTTAGTACATGAATCCATAGTTCACTGGTTGTAGCTGTTTAGAAGTTATAGTGCTGGCAAAATTTATCTATTTTCCAAGATGTTTTGGTCATGGGGATTTGGCCCAGTTCAAAGGTTTAAGGCAAGTTTCTGGGGTTTTTTATTTCCAAGGTTGCAGGTTTTGTAGAATTTGTACTTCTTAGAATGCCTTCTCAATTTAATTTGATTTAATTATTCATGTATTTTTGAGGCAGGGTCTCACTCTGTCACCCAGGCTAGAGTATAGTGGTATGATTGCAGCTCCTGGAAGCATCGACCTCCCAAGCTCAAGTGATCCTCCCACTTCAACCTCCTGAATAACTGGAGCTACAGTCACACGCCATCACACCAAATAGATTTTTGTTGTTTTTAGTTGAGACGAGGTCTCACTATGTTGCCCTTGAACGCCTGAGCTCAAGCAGTCCTCCTGCCTTGGCCTCCCAAAGTGCTGAGATTACAGGTGTGAGCCAATGCACCCAGCCCTGATTTAATTTTAGAGCTCTGAGCCAGAGTGATGCCATTTTGTATATCACATTTCACATTCCCCTGTTTTGATCAAGATCTGACAGGAGGCAGCATTGCTGATCAACTATTATTGGTTGGCCATAGATTTGTTATATATTTTCTTTGGAGCTAGAAATGTCTGTTTTTAGAGTGGCTTGTGCCACAGAGGTGAGTTGTCAAAAGACAACATGCAGAAATTGGCCAAGTTTGAGTAACAGGGGAGCCATTTTCATAAGGAGGCCTGCATTAGTCTATGGCAATTAGCTGTACATCAGGAAAGGCATACATTTGATTAACCACGTGTAAGGGTCATTCTTCAGCCTTCTTTCCTGAAATAGATGATGAGATTTCAGGAAGGAGATATAAGGTGATTGTGTTTCTTTTGGTGAGAAGCTTTCTTGGTCATATAAAGGAATTCCAGAGGGAGATTCTCTGTGCCCTTGGAGAGAGAGAGGAAAAAGACAAAATTAGAGGGACCTTGATTCTGAGGCTTATTTCTGAGGCCTTTCCATTTTCAAAAGCACGTAACATGCCAAAGTACCATATTTTTGGGGAAACATTCTCCGCAGACAACATTTCCACTTGAAACTTCCCTAGGTGTTTCACACACTGAAAGCTGAGTTGGTGGCTGTGGAGAGAATATTTGAGTCAATAGCTGAGTGGCAAAGGATCCCATTAACCCAGTCTCCCATTTCTGGAAATAGGCCAACCCCATTAAACAGCTGTATCTGATTTCAGGAGATGGTGTTGCAGACAGGCTCTCACACAGAAGAAACACAGAGGTTAATGTTTGGAACAGTATAAACCAGTTTCTTTAGAGTTTGGAGGGCAGTCAGTTGAGGTGTCTTGATGTTAAACTCAAAGCATTCTATTTCTAAAGTAGAAATAGGCAGTAGCAATCTGACAGCTTTTCTGGTCTGTAATTTGCATATCACAAGGTTGTTTATTCATGAGCTTCAGCTTGCAGGCCCTCCGGAAAAAGGTAGTAGCAATTTCAGTGAGTCCAAGTCAGAAAAATGGAATAAAGTTTTGGAAACATTAGTTTGGAGACTTGTAACCAGGAAAGAATTCAAAATTCAGTCTGAATTGTAGGCAAATCATAGAAACAATGGCCAGTGGTAGAATCTAGTAACAGGTGTAGTATAGTTCTTTTCTGAAACATAATTTTTCAATCTCTAGTCCCCCATTTCTACCAAAGATAAATCATAACAGAACCAATTTATTTGCTGAATAATTTTAGTCTTATTATACATGGCTTGATTATTTGCATAAAGTAAAGCAGTAATAGCGATTGGCTATATAGGCTCTTTATAAATTGGCTTTGCAGGGGCTTTTTTTGTAAGAATCTTAGATTATATTTTTAAAAGCCGGCCGGGCATGGTGGCTCATCCCTGTAATCCCAGCACTTTGGGAGGCCAAGGCGGGCAGATCACCTGAGGTCAGGAATTTGAGACCAGCCTGGCTAACATGGAGAAACCCGTCTCTACTAAAAACACAAAATTAGCCGAGCGTGGTGGCACATACTTGTAATCCCAGCTAGTCTGGAGGCCGAGGCAGGAGAACGGCTTGAACTAGGAGGTGGAGGTTGCAGTGAGCCGAGATTGCGCCATTGCACTCTAGCCTGGGCAATAAGAGCGAAACTCTGTCTCAAAAAAAAAAAAAAGCCTCTCAAGGGTAGGAAGCCAAGCCAAGGATTTTCCATCAGATTATACCTGTAATAACTGTACAAATTGGATGAATTCTTGTCTTCTAAAGGTCCCCAAAATATCTTGAGGTTCCTGGGCCTGTTAGAAAGTGACATTCTTTACTTACCATAGGATCAAAAATCCTTTAAACAAACTGTGTAGACAAGGAACCAGGACAGTCTTTTTCCAAGTCTATTGGCTTTAAAGGCAGTCTCAGTTCCTTAAAGCAGCGTGATCACATAAGAAAATATGCCATTCCAGTCAAAGCCTTGGTAAAATAACCAGTGTCTCTAATTGTGTCCTGTCACAGAAGAAAACAGACTCTTACTGAGTTTATTCAAATACCTATATTGCCATAAAATAAAAATATTCATTCATAGTTTCCAAATTTTGAAGATATCAGTTAGGGAGAAAAGTAAATGTTTCCATTTTACTCACAAAAGTATACTTTCCCAATTACCGTAAGCTATAAATAGCTTAAGAGGAAAAATAGATTTTTTTTTTTGACTCTGAAAAACAAAACAAAACAATCAGCAGCATGCCTATAATCCCAGCTACTTAGGAGGCTGAGGCGGGAGGATTGCTTGAACTCAGGAGTTTGTAGCCAGCTTGGACAAC